TATATATATATATACTGTTCAAGAGAACTAATAAAAAAAAACAGTCAAAAAAATCCAAAACAGAATTTGACAATTTAACTAAACAGAGAAGAAGAAAACTAAACAAAAGAAGAAATACAAATGGCTAGAAAACAGAAAAAATATTTAACATTGTTAGCCATTAAGGAAAGGCAAATTAAAATTTCCTGAAGAGTCCATCTCACCCTAGTCAGAATACCAAACACTATGGATGCAAATGATAGCTAACACTGACATGAGTGTGAGGAAGGAGAAACACGTAAATACATTGCTGGTGGGAGTGTAAACTACTTTGGCCACTTTGGAAAGCAGTCTGCAGGTTCCTCAAAAAACTAGAAATAGAACTATCATGTGACACAGCCATAACACACTCCTGGGCATATGGCCAAGGGAATAAAGATATTTATCATGACACGGGGTGAAAGATATGAAAACATCTATTATGTTTTCACAACAATTAAAAATAGAGGTCGTATGGTCTTTGGGATAGTAGTGGGTGAGTAGGTAAGAGATCGTTAGATTAGGGCCGGTTTTTTTTTGTTGTTGTTGTTGTTGTTTGTTTTGTTGTTGTGGTTTTTTAAAGAACGGGCTCCAAACTAACTGGTGACTTGGATATAGAAGGTGAGTGGAAAATTGAAATGAAGAACTAAATTAATTCCCTCTCTTGTAATTTTGTTTCATATTTATTTTCCTTTGTCAGTTGGACTATAAGTTTTGCTCTCTCATATCACCTTAGATGCAAATATAGAGTAGATACTTAACAAATATTAATTATTTTAGTGAGCCATCTCATAATATTCCATTTTCACCATTATAGTTCCTTCCTTGAAAATGTCTCATATTTCATTTTTTTTTCATTCCCACTCTTCAAAGACTAATCTATGCCCAATTCTTGCAAAAGCTGGGTTACCACTGTGACCATTTCATTGGTTTTCTGTACTCCCACCATATCCAAATCTGATTCAAAATGTAAACTCATGATTTGAGGAATTTGCTTCCAGTGATTCATTCAGTAACTATTTATTTACATTGTTAGAATGTCTGTCTATCATGTGCAAGATCCTGGGTTCCAACTCCAGAATCACAAAAATACTTATCTTCCTTGAATGTTCTGTGCCCAGCACTTTTCTAAATGCCAGATACTAAGAACTAAAAATACAGAAAATTGGTAACAAGTGCTATGAAAAAGCACATAGGGTACATAGGAAGTGTTTCAATCACAATTACTTCTTTAATTATTTTTCATCTCTCCTCTCTCTCTCTCCCTATTTAATCCTTCTACCATGACTTCCCCATTTAAAGTGTACCCTTTTCCCCTATTTCTCTCTTGATAATACCAGTCTCCTATGGTCCCACCTCTCTTGTGTTCCTTCTTTTTCTTTATCCCCAAAGTTCCTTGTATAACCCTTCCTCGTGCCTCCCATTTACATACCCCTATTTTATCCATTTCTCCCTTAGTGGCACCTATCTCCTACTGTTCTTCTCTCTCAGGTTCCTTCTTTCCCTTTCCCTCCTTGGTTCCTTTTTATTATTCTGCTTCCTGCAGTTATATCAGGATTCATATTCATATATAAGGATTTGGTGCTAGTTATATTACAGTTTAAAGTAGCAGATTTAGCTTTATAAAGGTTATATTAGACAGGATATTTTAATCAAGTGAAAAAATAATTCCTACAAGGGTAAGAGGGCATAACAGTGCAAGTTCTATAATGTGGGCATGAGTTTTACTTGTGTGAGAAATAGAAAGGTTGGGGTAGTTGGACAGTGATTTAGAGAGTGATAGGAGACGAGGTTATAAAGACGGCAAGCAAAGATCATTTAGTCTCTTGGGGACATAATTTATATTTGATAGTATATGAGAGTGGAAGACATTGGACAATCTGGTATTGGGCATGATTTGAATTTTAGTTGAAGCAAATTAAAACTTTTTGTAGATCTTTAACAGGATTTGGGTCCCTTGACTACATATTTTTGTGGTTTTTAATTAAATTAAAGTTTTCTGAGTATTTTTAAAGGATATTGTTATCATCCAATCCAATCTCCCAAACTAGCCTTTCTGTATATACCATTTATTGCTCAAGCTAAATTCTTCCATCCTACATATTTATACACCTCTACCCTTGATTATTCTTTCTTCTTTAACATATTTGCTTCTCTCCTTTCTTAACCAACAGTCAAATTATAATTGTAATGCAGACTGCTTCCCCAACTTTCCCATTTTACTGATGCCTCCATTCATTAAAACAATGTAGATCTTGTCTGTAGTTAATCACTAAATATATGACCATGTGCTTTGTTTTATTGGTGTGAATGTTTATTACATGCTAATTCTATCTTCCAAATGGTGTTGCAAATTCTGCAACATCAGCAAACCAACAAATCCTTCATTTCTCATTTCATTTAGAAAATCTGTGTTGTACAAATGAATAACTGAATCTTCCTGATGTAAAATGTGGTTTGACTTTTTTTTTCTGGAGTAGTGATCACCCAAATAATTTCATCTGCCAGAACAGGGATTGAGATTAGGTAAAGGAATTCCATTTATTGCCTTAGTCACCATAGTCAACTAGTCAAAAATGAGTATACTCCTCATTGAAGAATCCAAAGGGTCTATGGGAACCGTCTTGATTTTAATAAAATTGCCTCTATAACTGTCAGTTGAACCCTCATGCTATCATTTAGTTTGGGCAATGGGTTGGGGGGGCGTGACAATTTTGCTAAAAGCAGGTCTCAAGTTCAAAGACCAGGCAACACCTGCTCAATTGGCCGTCATGAAACTACTGTAGGTACAGGGATGCTGGATGTTCACAGCTATTCAGGGAGAGAGAAGTACCGAGAGGCCTGGCCATAGTTCCAGATGGTATGTGCCGGGAAGAGGCAGCCCCACTACAGGAAGCCATCCCTCCTCCCCTCTCCCCACTCTTGGGTTCTGGGCTGAGGCCAGAGACTGTCCGGAGCTGATCTCGGGCTCCCATTGGCCGCTGTCTTTTGTGACGTCACAATCATGATGAGAATTGATGATCGGACACGCTGATTTCATTGTCTGAGGCGGCAGTGGAGACCCAGGAAAAATCTCGGGAATCCGCCTGCCCCGGACCTGGTCTGATCTTGGATCCTCTGATCCCTTCCGTGACCACACCACGCCCGAGGTAAGCGCCCAACCTGGGTGGGTGTGAAGGGCAAAGGAGAGCTTTCTAGGTACTGGGATAATGCTGTGCCCAGTAGGGGGCCCGTAGGTCCTGTGGCCTAAAAAAACAGCTAACAAATTAGTGTAGCTTCTGGGAAGCCAAGTGCTTCTACCTTCCTAGCAAAGGCTGGAAGGAGCCAGAGGTTAGAAAAGAGCTGAGTCTAGGGATACTGTGGGTACTGCCACACAGCGCAGGACCTTGCCCAGAGAGAGGGCGATGGCTGGGACGCACTATTGGTACGGTAGTAAGAGGAACTGGTTGGTACTTCTGCTTCTGAAGAAAGGACGGGATTGAATTCTACCACTTCTAGATTTCACTGGACAGTAGATTTCTCATAGCCCCACTCAAATGCACTGAGTAAGCTGCGCCTGCGCATGAGCACTTTGGTGGAGGGGGGGCGGGGGGCGGCCGTTCTCTGTGAGGGGAGACTAGGCAGGGAGATTGCGCAGGCGCCTTTTCCTTTTAGCGGGAGGAGGTGGGGCTGAGCTTTGCCGGAGCTGAATAAGGCAAAGGTTAAAGAGTTGGCCTTGAGATGTTTCAGGCGCCAGTTGATGTGCAGGGATCTGCCATTTATTTTACACCTGGCCTACTGAGCATACTCAGCACCAAAATGGACCCAATGAATTTGAGAAGGTAAATTCTTAATTTCCAGAAGTAAAGGAACGAACTTGAAGAATTTGTGGAATAAAGTTTCCAGATACGAAATCTTTTGACGAGAGGAAAACACTAATTATTCAAATGAATGCAACTTTTAGTATTCAGACAGCTCGGGTTTGATATGACATTCAGTAATTTTGAACATCAAACACTTTGGAAAGACTCAGTGAGGTATGTTGTAAAGACTCAGAGGAATAAATTTTACTTACTTGTCTCTTCTTCATCTTGGCTCAATCTCATAAATCTTTGGCTCCTATTCCAGATTTGGTCTTTCCTTCTTTTTCTGTGTTTCTTCTGGAACTGCCTAAGTTAAATACGATTTCAAGAGACCATACCCAGCATCCCTTTATTGGAAGGGACTGTGTCACTCAGCAATTTTGAGGAACAACTTGTCTATCTGTCCTTGGTGAATAATTATATAGTACCGTTATTAGTTACCCTCACGATCTCATCATTTTTTTCCTGTTTCACAGGAAAATCTGGTTTCTTCTCTAGTTTTTTACAATTGAAAGCTTGTCAGATCTTGGTAAATTTTCCTTTAAAGCCTTCTCACATCACTCTTCACTGTCTCTGCAGTCTCAACTCTTATTACTACCTCTGTACTCCCTAAAGGAGATTCCTAACCAGTGTACTCCCCGTGCTCTGAATACTTAGTTCACCTTACAACGTTACTCATCTGTGAACACTTCTTCAATGTTATTTTCTCTAACGAAAATATTCTTGACTCCCTATTTTCTATTGCTCTGAGCAAGACTCCACCTAGATTTCCAAGAATATGCTAATCTAGCCTCTTGAATTATAGAAGCCACATTTTATTTTATTCTTCATTGTACAACTCTTGAACAATCTGCTTCTGTAATTTTGATTCTTATAAAACTCATCATTCTACCTAGGTTACCCACTCTTTGTTCAAGTCTTGCCCAGTTTGGAAGCTTTATTCAAGTTACACCTCTCTTAAGTGCATCCCAAGTGTCGCCCAACAGTTATATTGATCACCTTTTCTAAAATTCTCACATCCTATCATTTTCTTACAGCCTGGGGTCTACTGAGCTCTCCCAGTGTGTGTGTGTGTGTGTGTGTGTGTGTGTGTGTGTGTGTGTTATTGCACGTTTTAATTGGACTTATACCCTTAAGGGTTGGGAACAGGCCAGCCAGTTCTTTATTTTCTGCCCACACACCTGGCTGACTAATCAAAAGAGCTATAACCATTTAAGTTCTTTTCTTCCATAGAAAACAATTCCCTGGGGGAGCTAAGTAATATTGTTTTAGAGAGAACTGTATACATGTGAAAACTTAGTCATCACAGGTCAGACAAAAGCTCCTCTGGTGACTCAACAAATCCGATTGTTAGAGAAAAGGCATAATTGAGATACCTGCTTCGTGAGCAGCTTCCAAATGTGTCATGTCCTGCTAAACAAAACCAAGGAACCGTTACCTCAGAAGTAGTTTCATCTGCAATCCTCTCAGTTTGAAAGACACTGTTTAAAGATATTCCATCATGCTGCACATGCATGTCTCTTGAAATCTACTGTTTCATTTTTTTATTACATTATACTTTCAATTGCTATATTACACTTACTACCCTTGATAGTTTTCATTTGCATGACATCTCTTGAATCACAGCTGATTATCATGATGGTTGCCATAATTTCTATTATATATATTGGGTGTCACTTCTTTATCCCCTGGGCTTCAAATTTCATTGTTATACAAAGCTCAAGTTTTACTTGAATGATAGGGTAATCATTGTTTAGTATAGAGATTTTAACAGTTTTTTCTTCAGTTCCTGCTTCATTTGAGGCACCATGCCAATATTTTTGAAAGTTTGTGGTTTGGGAATATGATTAAAATCCAGTCCAGAAGAGTATTATAATTTGTATATTTAAAAATCATTGCAATAAGTCATCATAAGTGAAATATGAATGCTACTCATTATTACAGAATATCCTTTTACCTCCATGGTTTCTCCTATTATATAAATGATGAGAGTCCATTCAAAGCTGGCTTAGCTTATAGACAGCAACTACAATATTTAATATGATTCCCTTAGGCATATATATGCGCAATAGACAGAAAGGTTCGGGTAGGCAAATCTGAATAAAATGTAATGTTTGAGCTTGAATATCCTGTACATATTATGCAATTTACAAGATAAAAGATGAGAACGTGTCATTTGTGTTTTAAGTTTTACCATATAATTCTTGTGTGGAAAGAAAAACATTTTTTTTTCAATTAAGTTACAGTGCTTGAACTGGAAGGGGCTTTCTAATGATAAGCTGGTTACCTCATTTTTACATATGAGGAATCTGGGGCCCAGAGAAGCAAAATACCTTGCTAGTATTAGTAGCAGACACTATGCACTCTATATATACATTACACATTTTTGTGTACTTTATCACATTTAAGCCTCATAGCATGCCTATTAAAATTTCTAGCATTATTTTCTGTTTTAGAAATGATGAACTGGGGGCTCAAAGTAGTAGACTTGCCTAGGACCAACTAGGACTCAAATTACAAGACTCAAATGTACATCTGTTACACTCATGATAGCCCATCTATGCTTGAGTACAGTAATGTATAATATTTTTAGCAAAGATTACTCAAGATCTGAATTTCTGGTGTCCTAGCCCAATGCTGTGTGTGTGTGTGTGTGTGTGTGTGTGTGTGTGTGTGTGTGTACTGTATATATTCCGTGGACCATGTATTCCATGTCTACAGTCAGTCATGTGTAATCTTGACCCAATGATGTATGCTTATATTTGTATTTTATTAAAATACAGTCTTGACTTTAAAAGATGGTAAGAAATTTTGTACAAAGAATATTTTTAAAAGTCATTGAATTCATTTTGCTTTTAAAATTGTACAGAGGACATTATATTTTTAAACAATGGAATCATGAACATGATAAAAAGTTTGAATTGCTGATGCTGATTTTGTAGTGAAGTCAGCTAAAATTAAAATTGGTGGTGCCACGTAATTGAGTATAGTATATTTAGACACATTGGTTTTAGAAGTATAAGATGATGAGTTTCTCTGTGTAAGAAATGTGTTGGGAGGGCTAGGTCTTAGGATGTGACTTATCAGTAAAGCACTAGTCTAGTAAAATGAGACCCTGAGTTTGAACCCAGCAGTACACACATGCATGCACACATGCATGCTTGCACATAAAGAGTAGAATATTCAGAAACTGTCACTGATACCCTGAAACCTTTCCAGGCATCAAAAGTATCAAGGTAACAAGGTGAAACCTATCTGCATACATAGAGTCATCCTTTAGCCAGCTAATAGAAATACTGCCTGGATTAAAATCACAAATCCAAGCACTCTACAATTGGATACATGAGACTGTACCAGGCCAGTCAACGGAATGCTGCATTTTACATCTGCCTTCTGTAAAGAAAAACAAGAGTAGTTGTCCTACCTTCCTGGTCTCCTACTGTTTTGCAGCTGCTTTTATTAGTTGAGTTATAAAATATAACTTCGAGTTAATAATCTAGAATTTGTAACCCTTTTGTCAGAGTGGTGAAAAATTTACGAACATATTTCTTTAGCATCTCTTTCCTTGGAATTGGAGAAATTTTGTTTTACGGTGCTTAAAATAGTCTTGGAAATAGGTGTTTTACATGCCCCAAGTAGACATTTTTTTTCCATGTAGACAAGTACTTTTGAACGGTATTTGTTTAAGATCACTCACTATTGTTAGAGCTTAGAAGTAAAGGAGAGTGTCATTCTAAACTCTGGGCATTTGATTGTTGATAAGGGACCTATATTCGCTTTCTTTTTCAAATATTAGTGTGTGTGTGTGTGTGTGTGTTTGTGTGTGTGTGTGTGTGTGTATGTCTCCCAACGTCTCTCTTTCTTAGTCTTAAAGTCTATGACACTTTTCTTTCCAGTGGGTAAGTCTCTTTCTTACATACACAAAAGATTGAAGCTTAGGGGAAAGGGATCATCTCGTTGTGGAGCCTTCAGTAACTTCATATGGCGTAAGGTTACATAGACCCATATTCTTTCCTAATGTCAAACTAACCAATGGTGAAAGCACTTCATTGAGTTTTATGAAATAATGCATTACAAGATTATGTGCTTTCAGCTACACTAATTCATTGCTTCAATATTTTCTTATTTGTTTAGCTGGATTTACCTATTGTTTTATGGTTGGAATAGCTGCAACATATGAGAAAGTAATTATCTGAGACCTATCTTCAAAGTAGTTTTGCCCTTTCATAGACCAGAAATTTTTGTGTCAGACTATTGAAAGAGCATGATTGGTAGAGACCAAAGCTATTTTAAAATGTAGAAGAAGA